TATAATATATGCTAGAAAAAAAGTTGTCAAATAGATGTTATAGTGGGAAAACAAATCAATATCATTGAAGGAGGAACGTTATTTGTAAATTACAAATCATATATTACAGAGATAATATAAAAACGAAAAATATCACATTTTAATACATAGAAAAGAAATATTCATCATAATAAGAAAAAACCAAAATTGCAAAAAAAAAACCAGTTTAGTTTTCAATAACCTACACATCACTCCATTGTAGAAACAAAAGTTGTCAAATAGATGTTATAGTGGGAAAACAAATCAATATCATTGAAGAAGGAACGTTATTTGTAAATTACAAATCATATATTACAGAGATAATATAAGAAAATAAATAATCATCATAATAAGAAAAAACCAAAATTCAAAAAAAAAAAAAAAAAAAACGGTTTAGTTTTCAATAACCTACACATCACTCCATTGTAAACCTTGGGAGGGCCACCGACAGGGGTAAGCCACCGACAGACCCGTTTATTCATAAAATAACGACATAATAAAGACATGGTATGTGACATGAACTCAAATATACTTATTGCTATTGTTATTACCGAAAGGTCCACTGATTAATGTCAGATAAGATATAGTATAATACATACTCCAATATCGAATACACGCCATCGTGTCGGGATTCAATATTTCGACATTTATAATTATGTTCATCATCAGGAATGAAAAATTAAATTATCCATATTTCCAAGCTTATATACCAAGTACCAAAAGTGTTTGACCAATCAAAACATTACCCCTAGTAGGTGACATAGTTATGAATAACTATGTCATAACTATGTCACCTACTAGTTATGACATAGTTATGAATAAACTAAAGATCAAAGCATTCTTACCCTATACTGAACAATCCTACAAGAACAAAGAAAGCCCCTTTGAATCTTTCAGCCCATTAAGCAATGGGTGTAGCCTACGTATAATAGCAAACGCTTCTTTAAACCATAGTATAAACCAATTTTGCGAACTGTCAATAATGTTAGTATTAGAAAATATTAGACCTAATTTATTACATTACATGCTACATTATCATTTTCAAATATACCTTGTAAACCTAAAACATATTGGAATGCCTCACAATTTTGTATATGATCATTTATAATACTATCAGATCGTGAAGAATGTTCTTTAAGTCTAGTTATTAAGCATCTATCTGTCTTACCAATATAATCACTATTACAACCTGGACATTTAAAATGATAAACAACAGAGCTCCTATATTCCTTAGGGGTTTGATCCTCAGTAGATATAAAATGAGAGACATTTTTGTACTGCCATAATGTTAAGAACGTATGGATGAATTAATAGACTAGCCGCCATACAGCGACAAACTTTCAACATGTATTAGCGTTTAAATAAAATACACTTGACCACTCTGCCGGTGTGCGCAGACCGCTGATAACAACCAACGCCCTTTCTGCCTGTTGGTGGTGTTACTGTATCTCGATCGGCCCCACTTGTTTGTGCATACGTAAACGCATCATTTTGGATGGTGATCCTGGATTTCTATATGTCTTCCACAAAATAAACCCAGTGCACCCTCCAATTCCCAGACCCCTCTGATTCGAGACAACTTTTTCTAAGAACCAAATAACAATCTTCAATCGTTTAACTTGCTTTTAACTTAAGACCCCGAGACCAGTCCAAATTTAATAAGTGAAATTAAAAGTGTACCAGCAGCATGTTATTCGAAACTCTAGGTATTCAGTAATATATATGGCCTATTTCCAAATATAATGCATAACATACTGCATCATGTGTATTGACAACACATTCATTTGATTGCATATTGTTAATATCACAATACATATCTTGCCTATCTACTTATGCTTATATATATTTTTTTCTTTATAGTTCAAGACTACCAAATCTAAAACAATCAGTCATTTATTTTTTTTCGTCTCCAACACCATGCTTAATAAATTAATAATCATACCACTCGTCAAGCCGCTACTCCTTTTCTTGTTCTTTCCCCTTTAAAACATGTCAATACCGGCAAAAGCCCATTTTCTTTCCTTGCACCTAAACTTTCCTTGAATTCAATTCCCTCTTTCACGTGCTAAAAGATCAATTCCGGGCTCACTTTTTTAAAATGCCACCTCGAGTCTTTTCGTTTTTTCCAATTGTTTGTAAAGCACAAGTGACAACCTTGTTTTAAACGGCGCAATAGAAATAAAATCTATACAGTATTTATATGTCTATATCTACCTGTATACCGACCTATCTACCTATATATCTTTTCTTTTTTTTACACAGATAAGCCCTTCAGCACAAGGTAACTTTTATACCCCAAAGAAATATCAAATCATTATACTTATACCTGAAGTGTGCGACCCTGTATAGCAATTGAGAAATGTTTCTTAACCACTATATTCCAGATGGGATTTTAAGATGATATTAGGTAGTTTTCGCCTCACGACTTTAACATTACTTCTAGAAATATAGGTATAATGTACAAACTTAAACATACACTTCCATCAAAAATACTTCTTTCTCTATATAACACTTTACTTCTGCCATATTTTCCGTATGTTAACATTGCCTGGGCTGTTACACCAAACAAATTTGAGCGTTTATGTCCCCGGAAAAGTAAAGAGTCGTCTCGTATCCATTGTATTTAAACAGCAGAAACGTGCTATCCGAATTTGTGCAGGAGCGCCTTACATGTCACATACCAAAACACTTTATTTTTATTTATTTTTTTTTTATAAATTTAATGTATTGAACGTATTTGATTTAAATAAATAACAAATTGCTTTATTTATGTTTAAATTATCCATTAATCGTATTCCACATCATTTGAGCACTTTATTCGATAAAATATCAAATCTTCACACCTTTAATACCAGAGCGGCAACTAGTAATAGCTTTTTTTACATATCCGAGGAACTCTACGAATCGTTTAAGGCGTTCATCATGGGCCCAAAAATTTGGAACAACTTGATTCAAAATTACAAAACAAGCCCTCCATTTCCAGCTTTAAATTCAATTATAAGAAGTCATTAATCTCCGTGTATGCTTAATATCTACGTCACGCGTTTCTCTATTTAATTCTATCTAGGAGGGATTAATTTCCCGATTCGCCAACTTCCCCCCCCCCCCCCCCCCCCCCCCGATTTTTTTTCTTTTCTTTTTCTGTATTCGCAATTAAACATTGATTCTCTTTTTATCTCATGATTTTTATTAGTGTATTTGATAAACGTTATACTCCGAATATGTTATTGTTAATATATTTTGTGTTCATAGCTTAAAGTTCATTGAAATTATATTGAACTCCATCCACACATATTTTCATTATAATTATTGATGAAAAATGAATTGTCATCCTTAATATTTAGTCTTAAATACTGTTATACTATTATTTATTCATTTTATTATAATTGAAATTTATTTATGTGTGGAGAAATTTCAATAAACAAACAATCAAACAAACGTTAACCTTAACTTTAACGTTAGTACCCAACATGCAGCGCGATAGCTCCGCCCCTTTTGTAAACAAATCGAAATACGCATGCGCAAACCCGTCATCCGTTAACGTTAAGGTTAACGTCGGGCGTTGAAAATGACCTATTCATACAATATATAGGTAGTGTATTTATCACATGATTTAGCAACACAATTCATGTCAATAGAGGGCGTAACTATAGTATATAATATATACCGGTATGACATATTGTATTTTGTATTTAGGCACACTTTATTCAAAAATTGAATACACGGCCACATGGCCCAACAGGTAAAACATAACTTTCACGCAAACCAGAGTCACCATGAAAAAATCTTGAGGAACATGCAACGGAATTTAATCACTTTTTTGTATAATCATTTATTTTATTATTACACCTAATTTACTTATTTATTTACTTAATTTGGTAAAGTAGGCGTTCAACCATCCTTAAGTTTTTGTGTACCCCAACATCCACCGTCACCCAAGGACACACCAGTAAATGCTGCCTGGTGAGGTTTACGGAATTACCGCACAGCTTACATGAGCAAGCATTATTAAGGTGGTAACAATTAGCTATGCTACACCAAAGGTTATGGTAAGCCGTCCCTATCCACTGCCCCATCGTTTTCCTCATTGGCCCACACAACAGGGTCACATTTGCAGGGGTCTGAATGCCATCACGAATCAGCGATGGTAAAGGAGTATTTAATCTAAAGTAATTTTGGAGAATATCTCCAGCACCCACCCAACATATTATGTCGTGGTTCGATTAAGAAGATAGTGAGAAGGGAGGTGCAATCTTCCTTGAGTAGTTTAGACTCAGTTAGGACGCAGTTGGTAATCAATCACAAGACATCTATGTATAGCATTTAACGTTTCATTGGCATATCATGAACAAAACAAACCAAACTAACGCCCTGCATAATAAAAATAAATACTACGGTATCTATTATCATTATTACTATTATTAGGGGCCAATTGTTACGATATGATCATATAGCTAAATTCGTATTTATCAATGCAGTTGATTTACATCAGAAATGGCAGCATGGCTGCTTGAGTAGGCCTGGAAAAAAAGCCTTGTTACACAAAATGGATAAATTAAAATGTTGCTATTAAGTACAGAAGAAATCTCGCTCTAAAAGGTGTAGTCAAAGCCATTAAAATGTACAGTACAATATTGTAGAACTTGATAATCACTCTTGTAATGGGCCTTTCCGCTAAACCCCGCCCCTTGGATATTGTTGCTAAGATATTGTTGCTAAGATATTGTTAAGTTTGACACTCAGAAAGCAACTGAAGAACCGCCAGTTTTATGCTCTCAGTTGCCTCCTATTCTATTTCGCTGCGATCAGAATAAACTGACAAAGCGATTGAACTTGGTAATATGACGCAGTAGTTATTCTAATACCCCTTGATATGACAGTGTTATCCCAGTACAGGACAAACTCAATTCTGCTAAATCCCAGACAGACCTGGCATATTCTAGTATTGTATTGAAGTACTATTATTTTCCAGTATACTCAAGTCATATATACTCTATACATGGCGTTGTTTTCAAATGCAAAACATTCATTTTGTCCAACGTTTGAAGTAAGCTAAACTCCTTTTGGAAATTGTGGATTCGGTTGTAATTGTAGTCGAATTGAAGATTTTCAAAGTAATGGTGACGAATTTGACGCCCTCTATTGTCGATCTTAAACGGGTAAAATCCGTATAGAGTAATGTCCGCACAAAATGCTGCAGCGGCAGTGAACATGTTCAGTCCAGTTGTTGTGTATGGGACGTCAATTGACCAAAACCTAAGAAAAGAAAACACAGGAAACAAATAAGTTGTAAAGACTATACGACTATTGTACCAAGAAACATTGACTATTTTCATCACATAACCATGAATATAGTTATAGAGTACTAAAACTTGATCTAAAAATTAACATTCTCCGTTTATATAT